CCACAGCCCTCAGAGCCATTCTGGTGCCCAGTTATCCCCACTCCATCCCGATGCACTTGATTTCCCGAGACCCTGGGCCCTGTGACTTCACAGGCCTTGCTGAAGCTCTCCTCTCATTCTGTGCCTCCCCTCGGCTTAACGGTACCCTGCCTGGTTTTCTACGTGTCACACACCTTCCTGGACATATTTAACAGCTCACCTGCTTTTTCACCCCTTACATGTTCCTGTCCCCAGGTTTCCATTATTAGACATTTTATCACCGCACGAGGTAATCTTATCAATGCAGAGACATCAGTTCCAACCTTAATATGGGTGATTTTCAAATGGCTCTTCTAAGGTCCAGGCACAGATACCCGCTTTCAGTAGACGTAAAATCTAGGCTCCTGTGAGCCGACCTGCACCCCTCTCTCTCCCTCCACTGTGGCAGAGCCTGAATAAGGAACTTACAGATCCAACACGCGCCACGTTATAATTGCTGCCTTTCTAAACCTCTTCGTGTTTCCTTTCCAACTCTGGTTATTAATGTAGGGCCTGTGGATGCCCTGAGAAGTAGAAAAGCTGTAGTGTTTACAGGCGCTGCAGAATTATCTTCCTTAAAATAGTGACACGTAGTGCAGAGGGTTCCTGCAACGTGAATGGTCACCTAATAAAAGGTTTCAACCAAACTGTATAAACAGATATCTTAGAGAAGAAACTGGTCAAAACCATGATGCTGGGAGATGCTGAGGTCATGCAGAAATTATCTATGTAGGAGAACATCTAGGGTCCTGAGAATATACGCAGATTACTGAAGACACACCTCCGTATAGCAATCAATACACATATCCCATTCATATGGATTAGCCTATGTAATTTTACATCAGTCTCATGGAGTAATGGGTGAAATATTATCTTCATTTTACTGGTTTTTAAAGAAATAAACAGCTTCAAAAAGTCAGATGACTTTTCCAGGTTCACACAATTTACTGGTGGGGTTGCTCATAAAAGTGTCCTGTCTGGATGTGATCTTGTGCCCATTCCTCCTAAGGAGTAGCTGAAGCTTGAGAGTAGCTGAAACGTGAAATAAGTACATTTCCAATGAAAACAAATAGTCATTTTATAATTTAGATTTTTCTGCATTCCATTCTTCCAAACTCCTTTCAGTAATGCGTATGGACAAAATGGCAACTAGTTCTGCTCCCTGAGTGTTTCCAGTGATCTTCCGCCCTTGGTATGAAGCTGCAGCCGGGCGCCAGCTCGCGGGCTCTGGAGTGTGTCATCTTTACGCTGCTCAGGTCCCGTAAAAGTACCAAAGCGCACGTGGTGCTATTGCAGTTCAAGTCCTACGAGCAGATCTTACCCAGCAGGCAACGGCCAGGATTTTCCTTTACTACTGTTACTGAAAATAATTTAGGTTTTCGAGAGCCTTAGGAATTTAAATCCACTTAGCTTTACTTAATGACTAACTTATTTGTACATTTAAATTTCCAATTTGAATGTTTCAAAGCACTGTTTTTGTACAAGGAAGAGAACTGAAGTTCCCCACAAAATCAGAAGGAGACTTTAAATTTGGAGACTCCAGCCCACAGTCGCGTAAAATGCCCCACCTTACTCTAAGTGTATTGTTTTCCTAAGACCTTTGTCCAGACAGCAGAAACAAAGCTTTAGCTATTAAATAATGATTTTTTTTTTTTTAACCATAATAAGTTTATAAGAAATCTCAGGCACATATACAACTACCCTGAGGTAGAAATTTAATTTGGAATGAAAACCAGTTTTCCATCTACTGTTTTATGTCTATGTATTGAGTTTATACACAATAGGACTTAACCCGATGTTTCGAGGTGACCCAATAGCTTTGCTCTTACATCACAAAGAAATTTCTGTCGGTGCCCCTTCCTCACCCCTGGAATAACCTGAGACTCTGGAACATCCTCTTCCTCGAACACGTTGGCCTGTTAATCCTGGCTCTGTGATCATCAGCTGGTAGTCCAAGTCCCGATATTCGGTGGCGGTGGCGAGAGACCAGCGCGGGGCCTGCTGATGAACCCGGTGGAGGGCACTGGCTCGGAGCGGGGCGGCGGGGCGCTGTGCCCGTGAATGGTCGGGTGCCCGGGCCCCGCGCGGGGAGCTGCCACCGTGGAGAGCGCCCTGCCCGGCCCCAGCCCTGGCCCTGAGCGCTGTGCAGCGTCATATAATTGTCTCTCTTTGCCCCTTCTTTGTAGTTGTTTGAAATCACGGTGCCTCTCTCCCAAGGCCCCAAGCCGGTCACGGTCAGCTTTGCCAACCACACGTCCTGCCGGTGCATGTCCAAGCTGGATGTTTACCGACAGGTGCACTCGGTCATCAGGCGCTCGGCGCCCGCGGCGCCGCCACAGTGAGTATGGGTCCCGCTCGCTTTCCCCCAGCCCGCGGCTAGGACAGGAGGCAGGGCAAGGACGCCGATCCTCGCCGCGTGCGTGGGACACAGACGACGCGCGGGAAAGTCAGCTAGGCCGAGGCGGGAGGCCCGGACTCTGGGCGCGGTAGTTCACGAGACAAAGTGAGTCTGCGGACCCCACGCAGCCCGCCGGCGCCCGCGGTCACTTAGGTGCATCACCCGCGAGGCCAGGTGCGCCAGCTCAGAAGCCACCTCAAAGCCACAAGCGTTTCAGCCTCAGGAGCATTTTGGTCTGAAACCAAAACAAATATAAATAAATTATTTTACACCCGGTTGCTTTCCTTCACGTCGATGGTTATTTTTAGCAAATGTCCATATTATTAGACCGGGTCTCCGTCATTTTCTAAAAATCTTCACTTCACTTTTATCGTGTACTATCACAGGTGTCCCCGTTCCCCGCCCTCCCCTCTGGCATCCACACGGTTGCCTGTGTCTGGGTTATTCGTGCCTGTTCTTTGGCTCACCCCTTCGCCTTCTTCCATTCATCCTTAGTAGGATTTTTTAGCAGTCCTAGTTTTACAGAAAAACTGCGCGGGAAGCACAGCGTCCCCATACTCCCGCTTCCCCCGCCCCGGGGCCCTAGTTATGAACGTCCTGCCCTGGGGGGCACCTGTGTCACAGCTGATGGGCCAGCATCATTACTAACTAAAACCCGCAGTTTACGTTAGACCTTTTTGTTGTACTTTGCATGGATTTTGACAACTATATATAACAAAATGTATACTTATTTCACGGTCCCAGATCCCCTGCCCCACCTGGTCAGCCCCACCCCCTCCCCCGAACCCAGGCATCAACCAGCCATTTCAGTGTCATATGACCCTCCAATGCCCTCAACCCATGATCTTTTTTGTCCTTGTTTTTTGTTTTTGTTTGTCTGTTACTGACAAAGGCTAAAAGGAGATAGTATGTCTTTGTTCCTTAAATATGGATTTAGGGGGGTCAGGAAATTTCCAAGTATATAAAAACTCCAGTGCCAAAAAGTACAGAAGATGGGAAAGTCAGAAAATCAGTATTCACAGAACGCCCGCGGCAGTGGTCAAAGTACAAGAGCCAGGAATCGTTACCCAATATGTACAGTTTATTCTAACAGAGCATATTTGGAGCCTATTAACCTTTTAAAATCCCAAAGAGGCGATAAATGCCAAAGGAATATTGATTTTTGTCATTAAACCTGTTGCTCTCTAACACATACATAGGTCCTTACATGTTTGTCCTCTGGTTTTAAGTAGCAAAAAGCAGTAACTATCAAGCCTGCCTAGTGAGCTTTTTAAATAATAAATGAAATGATTCTTGGAAAAGCATCTCTATCCTTCACACAAATTATAAGCAGGATTGTGGTTGTGTTTGTGGGTTTTTGTGGGAAAGGGAAGTCAGTTTATTTACATACAGTTCTCAACATAGATCCGCTTTGCCAATAACTGCACAATCTGCTTCTCTTTGCAGACGAAATCTGTCTTTGAATCCATGTTTTATAACTACACTATACAAAATAATTAATTTGTAAACGTTTTTAATATGTTTGCACGTTAATATTTGTAACTTGAAATATCAATAGGATAAAAATGCTTTGGACATTAAGATAAGTGGGATAGGATTGTGCTAAATCTGCTATCCGCCACGAAAACATTTCCTTTCATTCTAAAATGGCAATATTTTGGAAATTGTGCCTCCCATTTTTTCACGAGAAGCTTTAAATGCTAAGAGCTTGCTACTCACCTTTAGAGCAGGGAGCTGCACTAGGTGATTATGAAAATGCACCTCATCCAAATGTATGTTTCTTTAATTAAATGGTATGTAGCAGGGTTTCCTACTTCAGCTTTGGAATATGCTGAACTACTAACATAAACTACTATTAACATTGATGAGTAGTAGTTTCTTATTTTTGGCAGCTTTGGAAGTCATATTTTTTCTAGAAATTTAAGTTTTAAGAATGTTAGAAATTAAAATATTTAGCTTACTTTGAGCAAACCATAATTAGCCATAGAAAGTTTAAGTGGGCACAGCGTGGGTATTATTCTGAAGGCTATATTTGTGTTCAACATAAATGTACAAAAACTAAAGAGTTCGTATAGTCAGATTATATGAAATCATTACTTAATTCTGTAAAATTAGATGCCTTGCTTTGCGTGACATTTACAGAAATGTATTCCTACAGTTATTCCCACATTTGATTCTACACACAGTCCATTCTTTTTAGTTTATATTTTTGAAGATGTTGAAACATAAGAGAAAACTCCATTTTTTCCTCACTAGATGCTGGGAAGTTGTTTTGTTTTCACGCCCACTTAGGATGAGCAATGTGTAAACGTTTTAAAGTTAAGCACAGACACATTAGCACACAGGCCTGCGGTTGGGAATCTCACCGTTCACCAGCCTCACTTAGGTGAGTGCTTCAGGTTACTCTCAACACCTCTGTGCCGTTTAAATAGCTTAGGCAGGTGTTTGTCACTTTTCTGACTGCGACACATTGGACATTGCAGCCACCCCCCACACACACACCACGTGGGAGAAGGGGTGTGTGTGTGAAGAGTTGTATGTTCATATTTACACAGATATATATGTACTTTACGTATATTAAAATATTTATATGCATATATCATTGAAAGAAAATTGCAGAAAACAGTATCACATGCACTCTAATTGTTTGTATTCTATTACACGCCATTCTTTTACATTTAAAAAAGTGCATTTCCCAGCTCAGTACTTGATTTTATGATCCGCTCCTGGGTTACAGCTGATAGCTGGGGGGACACTGGCTTCGGCAACGGCAGCTTCAGTCGTCCGCTTGCAAAATGAAGGACCCCTTTCTAACTGTGACCTCACAGCAGTGTCCGCATGGGACCGTGTCCTTAAATCAGGTCAGCACTGAGGCCACGTAGCCACATCGAGTCACTTTTGTTATAGAAGAGTGATGTGGGTTTTATTCAGCCAGGATTAATCGCATCGCTGTTATATAACTAAACATGACTTCTGTCCTATCCGACGGAGGGGTACTGACGTTTGGGGTAAGGAGGTGGATTAAAAGGACAGTGAAATTGTTTTGGAAAATTTGTAAATACTGTCTAAATTGTATGTGGGTTGATGTGTGTTCATGATTAGCCTACAAAGTAAAGACAGTAATGCGTAATGAGTGCAGACTTGCTCTTGGGAATACCTAAAATTTTTATGAAGGTGTAATGTTCCCAAGAAATGTTGGTAAGTGAGAAATCAGGGTTTGGAGCAGCACATAAGGGATGATATTGTCTATGTAGCAGAAGAGATAAAATATATGTATACATACATACTTTCTTTTATTTGCAAAAAGAAACACCGAAGTCATAAATCAAAAGCTAAGAAAAGAACTGCGTGCTGTTTAATTTTTACTAGAACAAGGGGGGTGGAGGGAGAGAGGCAGGGAGGGGGGGAGTTGCTAGAACAGCAGAGCCCATGGTCCTTGACCCCTGCCTGGAGGACTGTAGAGTAGGGAGTTTGCGTGAATGGACCCTGGACAGTTACAGGCGCCTGTGCTTCAGGAAAACAGTCAGTAAAGGTCCGTGTATAGGACTGTTTCCTGTAGGACTGTTTGGAAAGGCCAAGCTGGAAGTAGCTTCAATAGCTGCCAACACAAGACTGATGAAATAAATAATAACATCCCTTTATGGGCCACCTTGCAACCACGACAAGCCATGGAGCAGAACCTCATGAGATGCCCTACAAAGATGTCCATGACGTACTACTTAGTGGAAAAGGACATTTCGGAGTAAAATGACCCACGCTTGCCCAAGTTAGGACACTATGTGATTGTACAAGTCAGTGTATGTGCCTTAAAAAGGTGGGCGCCTCGGGTGATCCAGGACCGTACCACTGAGGGTCCCCCCTGGGCTTAGAACTTAACAGCACGTGCCGGGGAGGCCGTTTGAGGGGACTGTCCCACTTCATTTACTCTTGCATCATGTTAGAGCTGTTTCACAGCCCGCGCCCAGGTGATGCGTAGGTGAGGAAAGCGGTCCCCCTTCTGTGCACCGGTTACACTCATGCTCCCCCGTCTGTGTCTCCCAGGTGCCAGGCTGCCAACACCACCTGCCCCGCGAACCACACGTGGAGCCAGCACCTCTGCAGGTGCCTCACTCAGCAAGATTTTATTTTTGCCGCCGGCGCTGGAGACGGTAAGCGGAATGGTGGTTTCTAAGACGCGGGGCCCAGGGCGTGTACTGCGTTTAGCACGCGCTTTCCTATCAGATTCCGCGCACAGTGCTCGGGGCGTCGGGCCCGAGTGAAGTCCCTCGCGCTGGCCCGTCCTCACCTCCCGCTGGCACCGTGTGACACTCCGCGGAGGAGCGTGCCCACGTGTGCACAGCCTGCCATGAAAACCCTGCAGGGGAAGATGCTTTTCTCTGCTCCGCGCCCCTCCCAGCCCCAGCCCGGTAGAGTTAAGATGCCCCTCCTTGTCCGTCTAGACGCGGCCGACGGGTTCCACGACGTCTGCGGCCCCAACAAGGAGCTGGATGAAGAGACCTGTCAGTGCGTCTGCAGGGGGGGCCTCCGGCCCTCCAGCTGTGGACCCCACAAGGAGCTGGACAGACACTCGTGCCAGTGTGTCTGCAAAAACAGACTTTTCCCCAGCTCGTGCGGGCCCAACAGAGAGTTTGATGAGAACACGTGCCAGTGCGTGTGCAGAAGGACCTGCCCGAGGAACCAGCCCCTCAACCCGGCGAAGTGCGCCTGTGAATGTACAGAGAACCCCCAGAAGTGCTTCCTAAAGGGAAAGAAGTTCCAGCACCAGACGTGCAGGTGAGCGATCGCCGTGAGCGTGCGTGGCCTCTCCCTGGGAATAGCTTCGTGCGTGGCCTCTCCCTGGGAATAGCTTCGTGCGTGGCCTCTCTCCCTGGGAATAGCTTCGTGCGTGGCCTCTCTCCCTGGGAATAGCTTCGTGCGTAGCCTCTCTTCCTGGGAATAGTTTTCTCCACTAAAAGCACTTTTCTCAACAAAATAGCGGCTGCTTGTCGTTAGCGGGAAACCAGTAAAGTCTGGGAGATTCGTTCTGGTAGTTTTTAACCAAACTTTCATGAGACTGTGTTTGCTCCCGAAAGGCAAGAAAGGAGCCCTGGGAACGCAAACCAGACCCAAGCTCAGAAGACACTGGGTCCGTGTCCCACAGGCGGAGGTGGTGGCTCTCGCACAGGCCAGCCGCCTGTGGAGCATTTTCAGAATGCAGCCGGGCAGCACACAGCTGCCCCCAGCACGATTGTGATCCCATCACGTGTGATTTGGGACAGTCGTTCTAAGTGCAGAAAATCCCGTCCAAAATTTACAAAAGGACAGGATGTTGCCGTTGACTGTAGAATTGTATCTAGAGATAAAAGTATTTAAGCCAAGTGCTTAGAGGCATTGGAGAAGTAAATTACGATGCTGATAGAGGTTCCTCACGACTCGTTCCCTAAACCCTGACCTTTCTGCCTTCTTTACACCAAGAAAAAACCGAGGCTNGTATTTAAGCCAAGTGCTTAGAGGCATTGGAGAAGTAAATTACGATGCTGATAGAGGTTCCTCACGACTCGTTCCCTAAACCCTGACCTTTCTGCCTTCTTTACACCAAGAAAAAACCGAGGCTTTGGCCCGAACCCTGGCAGTGTGCGTCCTGAACGCCTTCCCCGCTAACCTGAACGAGGTGGTCAGCTGTCGAAGGCAGGGTCGGCCTCCGACAGCTCCTCCCACGTTCCTTCACGGCCCGCCGGCCGTGCCTCTCCCGTCCTACCTTTACCCTCAACTCTGTCCTTTCCCCGCAGTTTACAAAAGCTGCCAGACGTCCCCTGTCTCAGCAGCGTGTCCCCGTGACTCAGAGCGCACTTTAGCGACCAAGACCTGCCTTCTTTCCAGAGACGCTCCAGGCCAGGCCTTCGGCACGCGTGTTCGCCCCTTTCCTCTATTCCAGTCTGAATTATTAAGTTGATTGGCGTGACATGGGTCGGCAGGAGTGCGCGAGCTTCAGGTGCACGGGATTATAATCCCTCCCCGTGCGCTGCGCTGTGTGCTCACTGCCCATCGCCTCGCGCCTGCCGTCCGCCTGCCCGCCTGGTGAGCGCGCAGTCCCCTTTCCTCTCCGCCTTTTCGGCCAGTGGCAGCGGGTGTGTGCCCCGCGGAGCCCTGTAAGCTTCTGCGTGAGGTACCCCTGGACGCTTGGTTGCCAAACGCAGGGGCGGCTTGGTCTTCCTGGGAGCGTGCCTTTCAGCTGCTCCTCCTGGTGCCTGAGTTTCGGAGCTTTGCTCAGGGCCTCTCCTCTCTGCCGCCCACCCTTTCAGGACGGCGACAGTGCCCTTTCAGGTGACTGTTCCCAGGACCCCAGGCTTACACTCCACTTAGTTACGGGTTTCGGACCCGCACCGATGTTCATCATTTCTCTTTTCCTTGGAGCATGAAGTGTGCGTCTTGTTGATTCCCAAAAGCTTGTGCTTTCATTTTAATTTCCATTTCTGAAGCTCTGTCTCCACTAGCATTGTAGCTGCCGCCTAAGGAGATTTCATTGGATCTACATCTGTCATTGATGACGTATTCTTTCATTATTGTTTCAGAATGTCTTATCGAAAGCCTTTTTTTCTCTTTAGGATATTTTAAGCAAAACTCTGTTGCAGTTGTACTTGCATACCCCTACTCTAACGACCAGGATATTTCAAAAATGCAGAATATAGATATCAAATCTCATTAAACCATTTCGTATGTTGAGCCTTCTGAGTGAACCTAATGCGTATGTATTGAAAAACCTGAAATTGTTATGTTCACAGAGTGTAACCAGCCATCATGTTTTTCTCCAGAAATCTTATATTAACTTAGTAGAAAAGATATATCATTGTATTTCTCCTAATAGTACGCATTGTTTCATAAAGATTTTTATATACTGAAACTCCCCCATGCTCACTTTTCTAAGTGTGTGATTCCAGGTTTCATGTATATATTGAAGCAAAAAAAACATAATTTGTATTTTGAAAACATTTACGCTCATTTTCTCTTAATATTTATTCCAAAAGTGTGGTGTGCAGAGTATGTATTCTTGGGTCCACTGCCTTAATCAGCGACTTCCTTTGCTCATCAAGAATTGTATCTTTTTAATTAAGGAATAACTGTGGTCTTATAATATTGCATTTCCATTTAGAAGCTAAAAAGATAGCATTTTAACTAGATGTGCTTTCTTTTCTAAAGCACAGAAGTGAAACTATAACATCACATTTGTGGTTTTCTGGGTGCTCTGTGGATTTCCATGTGAGGCCATTTGCATCTTTCCTTAGACACTCATTCCTGTTCCCACATGTTAAACTCATGCTCAAAAAAAAGAAAGAAAAAAAAAACCCATCTTCAAAGATCTTCCCACCCATCAGATCCGCAGGGCTTTGGATGTGACTAGTTGCGTGATCATTTGTTTTTTCACCACTGCTGGGAAGTAGAAAGTCCAGGGGGGAAGAGAGAGTCCCCCCCTTTGCACGTGGAACCGGGTGGAGAAGGCAGAGTGAGCCACCATCAGCTGCCCAGCGGGCAGGGAGCGAGGGCGGGTGCCCGGGGGCCGCGGCCTGGCTGGGTCGAGTCGCTTCGAAGCCTGGGCTCCATGCCAGTCTCGTGCCTACGTGATGGCACCGACTCGGCAGCCCTCGAGCAGCCACGTCCAGCAACTCCGTTTCCTCCGCGACGCTGAGGGCCCTGCAAAGGCAAAGGCTCAGCTGGCACCATCTCGCTCACCCATTTGTTATATCAGCAGCCGAGCCCCTTTGGAGGGTTTCCCGCTCCCCTTAAACTTTGTGATTGTAAGCACAAACTAACAGTTTGCAAACCTCTACACCTAGGACGATTTTATGACAAAATGAGTAACTTGGTTCTAGTTTAAAGTTTAGGAAAACGTAAAGGCATGTTCGCAGCCTCAGGATTTCCCCCCTTGGTCTCTGACACATGTGCGTCTGTTTCCCCAGTTGTTACAGACGGCCGTGCACGAACCGGCTGAAGCACTGTGAGCAGGGACTCGCCTTCAGTGAAGAAGTGTGTCGCTGTGTCCCCTCGTACTGGAAGAGACCGCACGTGAACTGAGATGGGACCGTTTTCCAGTTCCTCACATTTCCGCCGTGGAAGGCTGTGCGGCCCCTTTAAAACTGTCTGTGGACAGAGAGACCTGGGGGCCACGGTGACAGACAGAAGTGGGTGTTTCCGAACCACGCGGATCACGTCACGGGAACGGGCTGGCGCTCATCTGCAAAGACCTCTTGTAAACACTGGTTTTCTGCCAAGGACCGAACAGCTGAGGTTTTTCTGTTGTGATTTAAAAAAAAAAAAAAAAAAAAA